CACATGCGTGAGAGGGCCGTGGAAGGTGCTGCTTCAGCCCGTCCCCAGCCCACCAGTCCGCCACTACACAACACACACACACAACGTGACGAACTGCGTGAACCGAGAACGGGCGTCAATCAGCAACCTTCCTATCCACGACGCTTGACATGTCGGGATAGCCTCGGACTCAAGTCACCCGTACAGCCGAAGCCGCGTGGGAACCGAGTCGAGATGCGGACTTCCCACTTGCGTGGGAGGTGGCAGTTGGGTGCATGAGGTGTGTGAGTGTTGATTTCTGGTAGGGTGATGGTGGTGGTGGTGGTGGAGGAGGAGGTAGGGAATGAGTGAATGTGTGGTGTGGCCGGCGGTTGTCTACCGCAGGTCGTCATGGATGCGCATGTGGCCGAATAGGCCCATGCGATGCCTGACAGTGCGAGGGCAGTGTGGGCAGTTGAGACGAGCTTGGTGGGTATAGGTGGGTGCTCCAGGCACTGGTTCGCCAGTCTCTGTGCGATGGATTCGCAAGTGACCGGCCAGGCCGATGCGTGAGGTGAATGTGCATGGACAGTGTGGGCATGAGAAGTCGGCGGTGCCAGCGTCAGCTACAGAGGAGGCGGTGGTGGTGGTGGTGGTGGTGGTGGTGGTGGCGCGGACGGATGGAGCGATGGTGGGCGTGTGCACGGTGGATGTGTTGGATGTGGTGGGTGTGTAGGGAGTGCGGTCAAGGCCGCTCTCGTGGATGCGCATGCGGCCGAAAAGGCCCATGCGATGCCTGAAGGTGTGAGGGCAGTATGGGCAGTGGAGGCGAGTGCGGTGGGTGTAGGTTGGTGCTTCACGCACTGGTTCGCCAGTCTCTGTGCGATGGATTCGCAAGTGACCGACCAGGCCGATGTGTGAGGTGAAGGTACGGTCGCAGTGAGGGCAGGTGTAGTCCTAATCCTCATCCCTGGAGTCGGGGGAGGTGGTGGTAGTTTCGGTTGTTGTGCGCGGGACAGTCGCCTGAGCGGCCGCCGTTGGAGCAGTGGGCGAGGAGGAGGAGGAGGAGGAGGAGGAGGAGGAGGAGGAGGATGGAAGTGGTGGGTCAGAAGAATTGTCAGGGTTAGTTGGCGGCGGAGAGGAGGAGGAAGAGGCAGGCGGGGGGACGATGGTTGGTGCCGTTCGAGAGGCGCAGTTAATCCGAAGATGTCCAACAAATCCGATTAGAGCCCGGAATGTCCGTTGACATCGAGGGCAGGTTGGAAGCGGTTGTGCGGCGGCATTGCTTACTGGGCGAAGTTGTGATTTGCGGGCTTCAGGTTTCGCTTTGGCGGCAGCGATGCGGTTGGCTTCGTAGATCGCAGCGCCTGTCTTCACTGTCCTCCTCCAGGTCGGTCGATCGAGTGCGAGCTCCTCCCAGTTGGTGGGGTTGATTTGCAGGCATTTCAGGGAGGACTTCAGGGTATCCTTGTAACGGCGAATCTGGCCTCCTTGATGGCGAGAACCCGTCGCGACGTCTCCGTAGAAGAGTGGTTTGGGTAGTCGCTCGTCGTCCATGCGCACCAGGTGGCCGCTCCAGCGCAGCTGAATTTGCCTCAGTATGGCGTAGATGCTGAGGATTCCCGTCCGTTCCAGCACATCAGTGTCGGGGATTCGATCCTGCCAGTTCAGCCTCAGGATGCGACGAAGACAACTGAGGTGGAAGTGGTTCAGACGACGTGCCTGCTTTGCGTACATCGTCCAAGTCTCCGCTCCATACAATAGTGTCGGCAGGATGACGGCCTTGTACATCTTCAGCTTCGTGCTCAGCTGAAGACCGTGGCGATTCCAAACTGTGCTTTGGAGGCGACCGAAGGCTTGACTGGCTTTCGAGATTCTGTTGGCGACTTCGTCGTCGATCTTGGTGTTGCGGGAGAGAGTACTGCCCAGGTACGGGAAGTTCTCCACCACTTGCAGATGGGTTCCGTTCACGCTGATTTGCGGCGGCGCGTTGGGGTCTGTGGCTGAGTTGGGTGGCGGTTGGTGCATCACCACCGTCTTCTGCGGAGAACAGGTCCGTGCTCCGTTACATCTCCTCTTCCGAGGTGGTGTTTAGGGCGCAGTCGTCGGCGAAGAGGAGTTCGTGCACGGTGGTTGTGGATACGCGCGATCGGAAGTGCATACGCCGTTGATTCAGCAGGTGACCGTCCGTCCTGTAGGCGATGCGGATCCCGGGGCGTTCGACGCGGTAGGCGTCCATCAGCATGGCTGAGAACATAAGACTGAAGAGGGTGGGCGCCAGTACGCAGCCCTGCTTCACTCCATTGGTCACTGCGAATGCCTCGGAGACAGCTCCGTTGTCCGTGACTCGCGCCATCATACCGTCGTGCAGTTGACGCACCATCTGAGTGAATCGCTCCGGACAGCCGAATTTCTGCATGATCTTCCACAGTCCTTCACGATTCCCCGTGTCGAAGGCTTTCGTCAGGTCCACGAAGGTAGAGTACAGGTGGGTCCGCATCTCCAGACACTTCTCCTGAAGTTGACGGGTGGCGAAGATCATATCCGTGGTCCCACGATGACGACGGAAGCCGCATTGGAATTCCGGCAGAAGGCCCTGTTCCAGATGGTTATTGAGGCGGTTGAGAAGGATGCGAGCGAAGATCTTCCCGGCAATGTTCAGCAGGGAGATGTCGCGGTGATTGTCGCAGACTTGACGATTCCCTTTGCGCTTGTAGAGATGCACGATGGTTGCGTCTTTGAAATCTTGCGGGACTTCACCTTGGCGCCACATCTCTTGGAAGAGCGCAGTCAGGTGATCCATCAGTTGGGGACCTCCGTGCTTGTAGACCTCAGCAGGGATTGCGTCCGATCCGGGTGCTTTCCCGCTGGAGAGCTGCTGCACGGCCCTGATGGTTTCCTGGAGAGATGGCGGGAGGTCGAGGTCCACGTTGGTCTCCACTTGCGGCAAACGCTCGATGGCGGCGTCGGAGATGACGGAGGGGCGGTTGAGGACGCCTCGGAAATGCTCGGCCCATCGCTGTAGGATTTGCGTCTTCTCAGTCAGGAGAGTGTTGCCGTCGGCGCTGAGGAGAGGAGCAGTGCCCTTTGTCGGCGGACCGTAGACATCTTTGATCGCAGAGAAGAAGTTCTTCCATTCGTTGCGGTCCGCGTACCCTTGGATCTCCTCAGCTTTGGGAGCAGTTCAGGCGTCCTGCATCTCGCGCAGTCGTTGCTGAAGTTGGCGGCGACTGCGGTAGAAGGCAGTTTTGGTGGCATCAGTGGGGTGATCTACGTAGGCTTTGTGTAGGCGGTTCTTCTCAGCTAGCAGATTTCTGATGGCGGCGTCGTTGTCGTCGAACCAGTCCTGGTGTTGGCGGGGAGCGCGACCGAGGACGGCGAGCGCCGTCGACTGGACCGTGTCTCGCAGTTGACACCAGCGGTTCTCCACGGAGGCGTTCTCGGCAGCGGCGACGTCGGCAGCGATAGGAAGGTTGTCTAGCCTTTGAGTTAGCTCATTGCTGAAATGAAGATGGTGAGCGGGCAAAGACATCAAGGCAACATTCAGCTTACCTGGGGGTCGCTTACCTTGTGGTCTCCTGTGAGGCTGTAGGCGAATACGCATCTTCGAGATGACGAGGCGATGGTCGGTCCACCTGTCAGCACCCGCGATCGCCTTCGTCACCAGCACGTCCCGCTGATCTCGCCTCCGGACGAGGACATAGTCCAGCAGGTGCCACTGGCGCGACCGAGGATGCCTCCAGGTGGTCTTCTCTCGCTCCGGCAGACAGAAGAAGGTGTTCGTCAGGATGAGGCGGTGTTCTGCGCAGGTGCGGAGAAGCAGCAGACCATTGTCGTTTGAGCCGCGGAGACCGTGGGGACCCAGCACTCCTCTTCAGGCAGTATGGTCTGTGCCGACGCGGGCGTTGAAGTCACCAAGGACAATCAACTTGTCCGCCTTCGACACAGTCGCCAAGAGGGCGTGCAGGTCCTCGTAGAATTTGTCTCTGACGGCGTCAGGCTTGGTCATCGTCGGAGCGTAGGCACTGATGATGGTGGCGAATTGCCCCCCCCCCCCGCCGGAGAGGCAGACGGAGGCTCATCAGGCGATCGTTGATGCCCTGCGGTAAACAGGGCAGTCGTCCCACGATGCCGTTCCGAATGGCGAAGGCGACGCCCGCGTCCCGTCGCTCTGGCCTGGGTCGACCGCTCCAGAAGAAGGTGTTGCCGGCACCCACCTCCTCCAGTTGGCCTTGTTCGGAGAAACGGGTCTCGCTGAGTGCGGCGATGTCCACCTTGTAGCGTGCCAGTTCTCGTGCCACTAGCGCCGTCCTCCGTTCCGGTCGGTTGCTCCTCGGATTGTCTAAAAGGGAACGAACATTCCAGGCTGCCAGAGTGAGCGCGCTCACCCTGCCAGTCTGGTGACAACGAGTGGGGCGACGGGAAGGAGATGGAGAAGAAGGTGACGAAGGAGAAGAATAGGCAGAAGAACAGGCAGAGGAAGAGGAAGAATGAGTATGGTTGTTGTTGTTATTGGTATTGTTGTTGTTTCGATTTTGATTGTTTCGACCATGATAAGACGTCTGCGGCCCTGGCTAGCCTGGAGACGGCGTGGCACCCAGCAATGTTTAGGCCACCTTTTCTAGGCCCTGCCCCTCGTGGGGGCTGGCAGTGCCATCCCTGAATAGGGCTGCCATGTGCCGTTGTGGCACGGCCGAACTCCACTATGGGACCACGACTTCGGGTTGTAGTGGAGAGCGACTCGAATTCGCCGTAAGCCGCGGTCTCCGACGGCGTAGGTGGGCGCGTCAAGGCGATGTCGATTTGGAGATCCATCGCGTCACCGGCTGTCCAGCGGCGTGCAGAGACGAACCAAGTCACGACGGTGCCGACGCAAGGTTCCATCCGACCTTCCATCCAGCGGAATCCACAAACCCTGTGCACACGGCACAGCGCACAGGGTCCCCTCACCTGGTTTAGCCCGCCGGTCGAGACCGTTGCCCGGGGTGTGGCTGCTGAGCAGAGTCCAGCTACGTGGAGCCACAGGTGAGAGTTGAGTGACAGCAGGTGGACGCTAGGCGCAGTCTCACCTGCAAGCAAGTGAGCGACCACCACGACAATTACGTGAACCCACCGCTGACACCCCTACACCCCACTTGCTGGATAAAGAGGATAAGGAAAGCATAATCGCAACTGGAAGGCCACGGGGGAACATCGTGCTAATTTGCCGTGCATGGCCACCGTGGTGGAACCGACGGAGTTCCATATCGTCCGAACAATTCCATTAGCAAGTCCACTTAGCCGCCCGCCGGATTGAGACAATAAAGACGGCGCGAGCAGGGTTCGTAGCACGCGCAATGAAGCTCGTGTGAACTGATATCTGAAGTAACAGGGGTTGGCGTATAAGCACTCCTTCCCTCCGTAGCCCTGTTACTCGCTGGATTAAAGTGGTAAGGAAGATACAAATACGTGATATTTGTAGTCAGCATATTCGCCTCTACTAAACTTTTTTTTAGAAAGGTAACCATATGTTATCTCTCAGGTGGGGCTGCAGGACCAAACCTCGCCGAAATAGCTGCTGTGCATTCTTTTTGACAGAACGGGACCTGACTAATGCAGGCATGGCGCATTTACGAGACACCACAGATTACTTAAGCGTCTTTATTGCCCCAATTAAAATTCACACACTCGACCGAGAAGATACTAGCGAAATACTATGCCAACGTGCTGGGATTGACAGGGTATCTTGTTCAATGCGAATCAGGTTTAGGGCATCTCCAAGCAAAACTTTCGCTTTGAAAGCGTATGGGATACATTTGGTCCGTGGCTAAGGGCTTTCACCGTCCACCATGACAGCCTTCCGTCTAGTAACGTTTCCGCATGGCTTGAGTTTCAGTTAGCATAATCGAGGAGAATCATAATTTTCCTTTATTTTCAGTGGATATTGTCCACCGGTCAAACAAGTTCGTTTACAAATACTTCCGGCCGTTGCGAATATCAGCGTGACCTCGGGTCTCATTGGCTTCGACGGATGCCCAAAGAGATTAAAAGGGTTATTTAGACGCCACTGTACATTCTTTATTGCACACAGTCCAAAAGCGAAGTAATCGTTTTACATACGATCTCCATCCGCTCCGTGTGCCTCTCAAAATACTATGTAAGGCCGGGATGGGCGTCCATTGGTTGAGTTTTATATTTCAAAGGGTAATGAGTGCAATCTTAATAGGGTAAGTTCAAACAAAATTTATTCTGTAAAGGCATTTATGTCATAAGACTGCCATGTGTGAGACGATATATCTACAGTTCCAGCCCACCCCAGTAAGTGAAAGGTACAAACCTAGGGCGCGAAATGCTTCGAGCAGAAGCCCAAGGACCTATGGGAACCCGATTTTGCTCTTATTTTCTGCAAACATTAGAGGACTGGATAAAAGTAAGAGTGCGGTGCACTACAACTTTCAAACAATGGTCATGTCTGAACCTATCACAAACGCACTGTTGATCAGACCATACGGACTTTGATACACAAGTGACGTTTCTCTCCATTTTGAATTCTTCAACAGAAGTCACGGACTTATATTGAACCGCCGTTGAGGGGAATTGGCTCACGACTTCATCGTCAATTTTCATGAAAACAGGTTGCTTATTTGTGACTCTGTTCAAAGCATTTAAAGAAAGCTTGCTTCGTGCACTGTCTGGGTGCACTACATTCACCACCGAAGTGCTCTAAACGGACATCAAACGTTTCTAATGAGCTTCGAATTTCAATGCCTGCAATAATTTTTATGTTTAGATCTCATAAAATGCGCGCCTTTGTGTATGATCAGCATGTTTGTTGGACTGTATGTTCACCACTTCTATCCGCCGAAAGTCTCGACTTCGAGTGTATCAGATATCCACGTTCCAGACGATTGCCAATAAACACTCTGGAAAGCTCTAGTAAACCGGCGTGCACTTTGTATTTGTTCGCGGGCGGCCCACCCAAATCTCTGAAATCTTGGATGAAGGTGAAAAGAGTTTGCAACAAAGGGAAACTGAGTACACAGAAGGCC